CACACACACACACACATACACACACACACACACACACACACACTCACTCACACACTCACACACACACTGCGCGCACACACACCGACACAGCAACACACGTTCACAAGCAAACACACACACGCACGCACGCATGCACACACGAACGGGCACACACAAAGAGATACGTACAGAGATAGAGAGAAGGAGACAGAGAGAGAGGGAAAGAGAGAGAGAGAGAGAGAGTGAGAGAGAGAGAGAGAGAGAGAGAGAGAGAGAGAGACATACACACATAAATTCGCACAGAAAAGGACATGATTAATTCGTTTAAGTAAAAAAAGAAAAATCCAGTGTGTCAATAATGTACGTATGTAAATATACATTGATGAATGGTTGAAGTCTACGAAGCTAGGGAGCCCTTCGTTTGTGTGGCAGCTTGTGAGTTTGCGGAAAGTTGGCATGAGTTAAGTAGATATATTGTACATAGTTCATGTCCGGCTCAAGCTGGATATAAGCAGGTCGTTGTCGGTGGTTCTGGTGTGGCTTGCTCCTTCTTTCTCATCTAACATGTATCATCCTTATAAATCCTCTTTCTTTCTCATCTAACTTCGATCATCCTTATAAATTCCTCATTCTTTCTCGTCTAACATCTGTAAAATTCCTCTTTCTTTTTTAAGCTTGTTATTCTCTTGTAACACCTCTAATCCCCGGCACTTGTAAGACTGTTTTATATTACATGTGCTGTAAAACGCGTACTCTAAAGGAAACAGCTAAAGAACCATGCGTCAGCCAAATTAGGGCAGGTACTTCTTTTGTCAGCTCAATTAGGAAGATCTTAGCTCCAGTTTCTAACTAGAGAACTATCTGGTTTGAGACATGTTCTCTTGATCACTGAAGGGTAGTTCCGCCGCTCTGTGAGATCTGCAGCTAGTTCCTAATCCTTTTGCGGATCCTGGAAGGATTTCAGTCCTTAAGAGGCAATGCGCTTGCTTTTGTTCAACCCATTTTTTCTTCTTCCCTAGCATTAAATTGCCTTTTTGGTGTCGTTGAAAAGTGTATCTTTGATAGAGCTCTGAGAGGGTGTAAATCGAACGTTTCTTTTGTTTTAGTAAGGTTTTACGGCGTCGCATCTGCATAAGGTCGTATAAGCACCAAGGGGTAGACGTCAACAGAGAAATCCTTACAGGGAATCAGACTTACTCTACTCACCTCTCTAGCTTCAACAGCACAAAGTCTGCTTCGACTATCAAGGCACTCCCGGAAATAGCGAGTCACAAGAGTGTGGCAAACATACAAAAGAAGTAGAGGAAAATGACGATAGTAAGGATTAGGAAAGAAACAGCAGCAGTTCCCTGTTGCAGTTCAGGCACAGTTAAGAGCACGACATTGATGAATCAGCCCATTTACAATTACAATTCTACTGTGCATAAGAACATGGTTAATGCCCCCTCCTCCCCCCTTTGAGAATCGCTTAAAGACACTTCAGTCAGTACCACCGCCCTCTGGGGGAGGGGGGGGGGAGAACGTTTCTCAAAATTTGGACCTAAGTGGATTGCTTGAGACAATAACTGCACTAAGATCTAGAAAGAAAAAGACAGACAGACAGACAGACAGGCAGGCAGGCAGACAGACAGACAGACAGACAGACAGACAGACAGACAAACAGACAAACAGATTGACAGATAGACAGACGGACGGACGGACGGACGGACGGACTGACGGACGGACGGACGGATGGACAGACAGACAGAC